AATAGTGCCTGTTTCTCTCCGCTGATTAAATGCGTTATGATTGTTGCTCGTGTGCTGCTGCCTATTGAAGCATACCACTGCGCAGTGCAGCCTGTGTTCCCATGTGTCCAGTGCTGCCAGAGCCATGTCTTGTCCCCAGCCTCGTGCCCTTGGGAGGGGGATGGGGCACAGCTCCCTGGACTTGTCTGGCCGTAGCATGCTCAAAGCTGTGTGCTGTGAGACCCAGCAGAGCAGCAGGTCGCAGCAGCTGCTGGGTCTGGCCAGGTATGGCACCAGCAGGTCTTGTGCAAGTGGCAGCGGTCAGATGGGCACCGTGTGTCTGTGCAGCTGCTGTTCAGAATGGGGGGAGCAGTGGCAGAGGATCTGCAGCCCTGCTGAGTGGCCATGACCCCTTGTCTGTGCCAGGGCTGTGGGCGAGTGTTCAGAAATACAAAGCAGGCCACTTTTTTTCTGAGAATAATGGCTGGATTGGTCAGAAGAGATGTCTGAGCTCTGCAGCAGGTGCCTTTTGGTACTGCATTTCATATCTGCTTCTATAAGAGAGTCACAGGCTCTTGAAGAGCTCTCCTGCAGCTGAAGCTCCGGGTGCTCAAACTTGCTCAAGTAGTTTTTTCCCACCAGCACCAGGAGAAGGTTTTTCCAGTGATAGGTGGCATTTGCTCTTTCTCATGGGGAGCCACCAGCAGGATGAAATGCCGTGGGTTCAGTGCAGGTGGTCACGACTCGATGATTTACATCACGCACACAGGGAATAAATTTGAAGCACGCTGCAGGTCCTCCGCACATTCTTTTCTTACTGCTTTTCAGTAACTCCTACTTGGGGAGATTTTCTTACTGCTGTCTCTGCTTATCCCTGCCTGGCTGAGGAGGAGGAGAATGCATTCTCCTGGTGCTGCAGGGGCACAGAGCAGTGAAGCAGCCTGAAGGATGGCTGGCCTGCCTGAAGTGCCCTGCAGCGGGAGCAGATAATGATCAGCGGTTCCAGCACATTAATCAATGACAATGGTAGAACAATGCAGAAGGGATGGAAATGTAAAGGAAATGCCTTTTTTGAGTGCTTGGGAAAAGTGATTTACTTTATGATGATTGAATTCTTGCATTGCAAGAAGAGTTTGGATGGTTCTTAAGCAGCAGACCCCCAAAATAGACCACACTGGATCCAGTCTACCTGGAGGCATCAATAGGGAAGCTTGCAAAGAGCTGAGTAAGGCGGTTTGTCTGCCCTTAGTGTTGATTTCCACTAAGATTCCAAATACCAGAGAGGCTTTGGGAGCTCAGAAGGTGGCACAGCATCCACTTGCGGAAAAAGAAGGGGAAGGAGCTGAGTTCTTATTGACTGATTAACTTGACATTGCTTCTGGGCAGAATAATGGACTCCTTGAAGTGGAATTCGATCAATAGAGAATTAAGGGAGGATAATACAATTCGTGCAGTTCCGCAAGGCGTTGGTAAGTGGGTCTGATCAGCTCCACACGGTGCTGAGTGCCCTGCAGGCAGGGCGGAGCTTGCAGCCTCCCACTGGGAGGACTTGGGCTTGTGGGATGTCATGTTCGCAGCCCATGGGAGCAGCCAGTCAGAGCTGTTGGTTGTCCCAAATCTTGCAGTTTTCGTTGGGTGCCCCGCGAGGAGGCGGCTCCTGCGTGGGCTGGGATGAGTGGATGCCAGCTGCCCACAGCTTGGCTGCTTTAAGCCATGCTTTAGGAGGGTCTCACTGCTAGGAAAGCAGAACTAAGCTCTCTGGTTTGCACTGTAACTCGGGATGTGTAATTGTTGCTTTTGCCTTTGAGTAATTGGAAAGAAAATCAAATCCCGCCACTTCCTCCCAGAAGGAGGAAAGGCACCAAGGCACCGGGCTGTCTGTCAGTCTCCTCCACCTTTCGCCCAAGTTGGTCATAAAATCAAATTGCTTCTTGCATGCAAAGTTCAGCCCCATTGTTGGGTGCTGCTGGGATGTAACCAGCAGGCAGGCAACAGCTGCTGGCGGAGCTGATGGACGGTGCTCAGGCTGCAGGCTCTGCCCAGCACCAGCTGCACTTCATCCAGAGCTCTCACTGCAGGACAGGACGGGCGGTGGTCAGAGTGATACCTTCAGCCCCAGGGGATCTGTAAGAGCTTTCCTGCGCACATCATCTCTCTTCTGCTCCCACGTAGAGGCGTTGGGACATTTTGCGCTGACATCGAATCGTGGCAGTGATGACATGATGGCAGTTGCCTGTCACAGTGGGATGGGAAGTCTGCTGCCTGCTGATGTTGAGTGTCAGCGCCCAGGCCAGGCTGTAGCAGCAGCCCACATGGGAGTGTTCAGTGGGTTGTTTCATCCCCTCCCCTGTCAAATAGGGGGTACTTCCAGGAGCTCAGGAATCGGCAAGGAAGCGGAATAGGAGGGAATATATTTCCCCGCTGCCAGGGAGCCATGCATTGCTGGAGCTCCCATTGCCAGCCTGGGCTGGGTGGCAGGAGGCGGATGCCCTCTGCAGATCAGTGCCTGGCTTGCTGTCAGACCCTGGTTTTATAGGTCTTGTTGCCCTACTGTTTTTTAATGTTTTGAGAAACATTAAAGTTAAAATAAAACTTAAAATAAGTCTTGTTACTTGTGTACATTAACTATATCTTTTATGAAGGCTGCTTCGAAAGTAATGCCTCCCATTTTATGGTGTCAGCCCACAATGTCAGATGTTGGCGGCACAGCAGTAGGGGTTGAACCTGCTCACCAGTGCCCCATTTTGTGCTGCTGCTGTGTGACAGCTGGCAGCAGACGGGCAGTCTGACAGAACGGTGTCTGACACAGAAGGGTGGATGGAGCAAAGTGTGTCATTGAACTTCTCCACGCAGAATGAATGTCTCCAGTGACATTCATTGATGCTCATTGCGTGCTGATGGAGACCAACCAGCACATGTGAGCACAGTGAAGGATGGGTGGTGCATATCAGCAGTGGGTCAGCTCCACTGGTGCAGCTTTGTGCCAGCACAGCTTGCAGGCTCTTGCTCCTTGCTGGTGAAAATACATAGCTAATGGTGGTGACTGTTGAAAAATAGTGTTTTGTAGCTGAGAATTTTCTCTATCAAATAGTGTTATTGCACTCATTTTATCGGTTGTAGTTTCCATGGAAATAAATGGGAGGCATTACTTTTGGAGCATCCTGCATATACAGGTTCCTCTTCACTATTTGCAGCCCAGGAAGCCAAAAGGTTGGGCATCTGTTCCCTATCCTTTCAGCATCTATCATCACCTTTGCAATGGCAGTTTTTCCCACCTGCAGTTGGGATGACCCACATCCCACTTTGCTCCGTCTCTGCTTGTGATGCCCCTCCACACCTCCCAGCAGCATCTCCCTCCTGCTCTCTCCCCATTCCCACTGTGCAGCCGGATGTGGCCGTGGAGTCCTCTTTGCTTTCCTGCTTCCATGTGAACAGACACAGCTCCCAGCTCTCCTCATGTTCATGGCAGCCTGGCTGAAGGTACTTGCAGATGCTCCTTTCCTCGTCTTCCCAGCCCCTCTGAAGCTCCTAGCACTGAGTTGAAATGTGTACAAGTGTCAGTAGGATGTGACCTTCCCCCAGCACATCGTCATGGTTTTCTAATTCTGCCTGTGGCTGCCGGCTGGAAGCATACAGCATTGCAGCTACAACAGCCATCGAAATGACTCAGTTAATGTGCCTAGAGACTATTCAGCAGAGTTCTATTCAGTGAAGTAAGTCCTGATCTCATCAAAATCAAGAAGGAGTGTTAGGATGGCAGCATTGCTGAGAAGTCGCATTGGAATGGCGGGTGGTTTGTGCTGTATTGGGATGCGGATTGCTGTGTTGTGCAGCTGGGCATAGAAGCCAGAGCTGGCTGCCATTGAGCCATCTGAGCTCCCCGTGCCGTGCTGATGCTCTGATGGGCGGCAGGCCTGGCCTCTGCCACCGGCACCTTGGTTCCTGGGAATGCAGATGGAGGGGCGCCGCTCTGATCGGGTTTGCCAAGCACTGGTGGTGGTGTGGAGGTGCTGCAGTGCAGGGAGAAGTCCTGCAAGGTATCTAGAGATGTTCTAATGATGGCACTGTTGTTAGTGGTGAGCTTGGAGCCTTACTGCCTAACTTTGTTGCTTGCACGTGGGAAAGAGGATAGATAGCCGTGTGCCAAACCTTGTCTGTGAGTCAGGGCTCGCAGCTGATTTACTGCTCTGAAGTGTGTCGTACACTTTGGTTTCCTTCTCTCTGTAGCCAAGTCAATACCCCTGGCAGCCCAGGAGGATCACTGCTAGGAAGCTTTTACAATCCTTGGGAGAAGGCGTTGGTGACGGCGGGGACTCACTGCGGGGCTCTGGGCGCTCAGCAGGGCTCTGCTCCCAGCAGGAGCCCGCAGCTGCTGGTACTGTGCTCTGGGTCTGCATGTGAGCACATAGGGATGTGAAGGAATACAAGGAGGAAGGAACTTGCTTGCCTGTTTTTGTTTGCACCTCCTGTGCCCCTGCACGCTGCAGTGTGAGGGCTGCGTTACACAGCCCTGCTACTGTGCTCCCCAGAGCCATTTCTGAGGTATGGGACATGGGACTGGGGGTGTTCTCTGGCCTTGTGCTGCTGCAGCCTCTATGTTTTTTGCCAAAAGCAGTGAGTGTGCACAAAGTGGCTGCTAATTGGATGGTGTCAGAGGTGCTGTGGCCACGTGGCAAGAGGAGCCAGGGCACAGCTGGGCTGAGTCCTAGTGCTCAGCACGGGGGGAGCAAGCTGAGGAGCAGCAGGCCGTCCGCCGTGGAGATGTGTCCTGAAGAAGGCTGCCCAGCCAGGCAGGGCTGTAGGGAAGTCAGCCCGCACTGCAGCACTTGATGTGCAGAAGGGCTTTGATGTACAGCAGTCGTTTTCTCTCCTCTGTGGGAAGCAGCGCTGCCAGCTGTGTGTTTGTCTTTCAGCAGGAAGGGGCAGTGCTGCCTGCTTCTGCCCCACACACTGTGGGGACGGGTGAGCAGATCTGAGCAGTATCCACAGCACACCCATATTTGCTCTTTCTTTCTCCGCAGAAACAAAGGAGGAGCTGGAAGAGCTCATGTCAGACATCAAAAAGACAGCGAACAAAGTGCGCTCCAAGCTAAAGAGTGAGTACACACCGGTGCTGCTGCTGCAAGGCGCTGGGGGGGTCTGGTGATGTCCCTGAGGCCAGCACTTCTCTCTGATCCCTGTTGTGCTGTGGCAGTCACTTTCCCCAGTTCTGGTGTGAGCCCATCACAGAATGGCCCAGGTTGGAAGAGATCTCAAGGATCATGAAGCTCCAACCCCTCCACCACAGGCAGGGCCACCAATCTCCACATTTAACACCGGACCGGGCTGCCCAGAGCCCCATCCCACCTGGTCTTGAATGCCTCCAGGGACAGCCCAGCAGAGGCAGCCCTGAACCCCCTGGCCTTGGGCACCTGCTGTGCTGGGCAGTGACCGGGCAGAGCACAGTCTCACCTGGAATATCGGATGTGCTCTCAGTTTTCTCCTGCTATCCAAGTGATTTTTCCACCTCCATTTCTCTCAGCACCTTCAGGTGGGTCCCATTCGGCCCCACAGATGTGCTGCAGCCCAGGTTAGAGCAGCAGCTTGCTCACTCTTTCCTCCTGAATCGTGGGCATTTACTTTGCTCCCACCCCTGTGTTCCAGCTCAAGGTCTCAGTACCCTGAGGATAAGCAGTCTGTTAAAGACAGAAGTAGAGAGGGGTTTGAGAATCTCAGACTTTTCCTCATCCTGATAATGCTCCCTGCTGCATCCAATTAAGGATAGACATTCTCCTTGTCCTCCTCTTGCTGTTACAATATTCGTAGAAACATTTTTTATTATCTATAACAACACTGACCAGATGAAGTTCTTGCTGCACTTCTGCCTTTCTGCTTTTCCCTCTGCATACCCTGTGCACATCCTTGCACTCTTCCCAGGTTGCCTGACCCTTCTTCCAAAGGTCATAAACTCTCTTTTTCTCCTGGAGTCTCAACAATTGTTCCCTGTTCCAGGCCAGTCTTCTTCCCCGCTGGCCCATCTGAAGGCACACAGGCACCTGTGCCGTTACGATTTCCTCCTTGAACGATGTCTGGCTTTGCTGGGCCCCTCTGCCCTTCATGGCTGACTCCCATGGGATTCTCCCAGCCAACATTCTAAGCAGGTCAGCTTTGCTGACCCTCCTGACTTCACCAAGTGCAGAGAGCTCCAACATTTCATGGTCATTCTGTCCAGGACAGCTTCCAGGCACCACATGCAGTGGTGACGCCCGACCTCACAGCCAGCACTGGGAGAACAGCTAAGTGTGGATTCTTCCTCTTGTGAATGTGTAACCAACTATACAAATCACAGGTTTTCAGGCTTCTGTGCAAAAAAAAAGTCCTTTCCCAGACCTGTTGCGTTTTGTGGGTTTGTTTGTTTGTTTTTAAAGGAGCCCAAAGAATGGCAGGGCAGGCTGTGGTTCCCCTTCCACAAAAGACACATCAGTGCAGTGTCTCCCTGTCGGTCCTTGTGCCTTGTCCCACTCCACCTTGTGGCCGGTGCGATCATTGGAAGGGAACGGTCAGGAATGATCAGAAACACCATCTGCTCACAGCGGATCGACTCCTTTAGGAGAGAGATTGCTCATGCAGTGGCTAATTCTGATTACTGGCTTCTTGGGAAAATGTGACTTTATTAATTATTGTAAATGTACAGTGTTTGCCAATACCGTTCCTTGGGAACAGGGAACGACTGATGACAAATGCTGAAGAAGGCCGACTGCTGATGAAATGGCAGGGAAATGCTGGCAGGAGCTTTCTTCCACGGTTTTTAGCAAAATGAAAAGGACAACCCAGTGCGGTGCTGCCGGGCCAGCCCTGTGCAGCTGCCATTCCTAGGGTCCCAGGAGAAGTCTCAAGCTTTGATGTTTTGCAGGGTGTTTCAGCTCTGGGTTCCCTCCTCTGTGGGCAGGCAGCCAGCCTGTGCTCCTTTTTGTTTGGATACGGGAAAGCTCCGAGATCAGAGCCAAGCATTGCATCCATTTCTAAAGTCTCTTTGGCAAACAATCTCTTTTTCTTCTCTGACCAGCCTGAAATAATCCGTGTTTTTCTACCCTGACCAGGTATTGAGCAGAGTATCGAACAAGAGGAAGGACTGAACAGGTCATCTGCCGACCTGAGGATAAGGAAAACTCAGGTGAGTCTCTGCCCTGGCCAGTGTTCTCATGGCTTTTTGGGGGAATGGGGCAAAGTTGTTCCATAAGAAATGAGTGTGTTATGTGACATTAACAAGCTAAATTGGGTTTTGTTAATGAGACTCAGGTGTTAAGGCTGTACCTTTTCCTCCAGGCATGGCCCATGGCTGCTCAGTTTTGACAGATGTGTGCTGCTCTCATTTCTGGTCTTGTCAAGGGAGATAGAGCGTGTTGGCTTTATGAGAGATGGGGGCTGAGGGACATGGGGTTCTGTGGGTCCAGCAACACACACTGGTAACCGGGAGTCACTGATCCTGCTTTGAGCTTGATGTTGGGCTGCATGACCTAGTGAAGTCCCTTCTTGGGCTGAAATATCGTATAATTCTGAGTACATCCCCTCCCACCACCTCAGAAAGAAATAGTGTCAAGAAGTGTCATGTACCTCAACTTCAGTGCTCCTTTTTGCACTGTCTCCCACAACATCCTTATAATGAAGCTCAGGAAGTGTGGAGGTGTTCCAGAGCCATGGAGATGTGGCACTGAGGGACGTGTTCAGTGGGCATGGTGGGAACTAGATGATCACAGAATCACAGAATGGCCTGGGTCGGAAGGGACCTCAAGGATCATGAAGCTCCAACCCCCTGCCACACGCAGGGCCACCAACCTCCCCATTTCATACCAGCCCAGGCTGCCCAGGGCCCCATCCAGCCTGGCCTTGGACACCTCCAGGGATGGACGGGGCATCCACAGCCTCTCTGGGCAGCTCACCACTCTCTCTGTAAAGAACTTCCCCCTGAAATCTAAATTTCCCCTCCCTCAACTTCAAACCATTTCCCCTTGTCCTGCTGTTATCTCCCCTTTCAAAGAGTTGACTCCCCTCCTGTTTGCAGGCTCCCTTTAGGTACTGCAGGCTGCAATGAGGTCACCCCACAGCCTTCTTTTCTCCAGGCTGAACACCTTAATGATTCTGTGGTTCTGTGATTTACTGCCTCACAGCTTAGTGATGCTGCACCGTCTCTGTTGTGGGTTGGCCAATCTACCAGTGGGCCTTCAACGAGAACACACCTTGCAGAATGGGGCCATTGCTCTGGCAGTGCTTCTTTGGCCTTTGCTTCTCCTTTTCTTCAGGGCAGGCTCTGGTGCTTTGTCCTCAGTGAACGTACTGGCAGATGTGAACAAAAACAAGGCATCTCAGAGCAGACAAATGAGGCCTTGTTCTGCAGCAAAGGTCTTGTTTTAGCATGCCATTAAACTGATAATGCAAATAGCAGCTGCCAGCATTGTTCTTCAGTGCCCATGAGTGGGGGGATGCAGGCAACTTCACTCTCATGGGGGTTTTTCCCACAGCTGTAGCTCACCAGGAATCTTATTGTCTCAAAACACTTTGCAGGGAAGCCAGAGGAATTTGACTGTTTTTATTCCTTTTCAGCACGGAAAGCCTTTTGCACAGTCTGCTCCCCTGTGCTGCAGTCAGACCCTAATCAATACCCCAGTAAATCTCTGCAGAGGCTGCTGCCAGCACGGCGTTCTGCATGATCCAAACCCCACAGGTGGAGGGAGGCTGAGCTCGAGGCGGTGGGCAAGCAATGCTGTGCAGAATGAATGCAAGAGAAATGCTTCAGATGTGTCTCAGGAGCAAGCAGGAATGCCAAGTGCTGGGCCGTGCTTTTAGCAGGACACAGCAAAGCTGAAGCAAAGCACAGTGCAGAGTGTGCAGCAAAGCAGGATGGCAGCAAGCCCCTCTGTGTGTCCTCTCTTCTCTCCTGCTTGTAGGAGTCGTGGCACAGCTCTGCTGAGGCTGCAGAGTCCTAGGGACCATCCCCAGAGGTCATTTTCAGGCAAAGGAACAGCAGCAGAGCTAGGACCTCTGAGCTGCCATCTCTCTTCATTCCTTAGTAGGGACAGAGGAAATTTGGGCCACCTCTTACCTCTTCTTGCTCTTCTGAGTCCTGGTGCTTGGGCTTGGCCATCCAGCAACAAGCCAAAAGCCCAAGTGGAAGTCTGACACATGGATGAGGTCCTGACAGAGGGATCACAGTGTGTTCAGTGGGAGGGGACCACAGCCTCTGCCTCAGAGCTGTGCCATGCCAGGCTGCTCATGGCCTTGTTGGTCTGCATTCTCACTGTCTGTGAGTATGGACACATTATGGACACCAGGTTCGTGGCTCCTCTGGGCCCTGGTCCAGTGCTTGATCATCTTTGTAGTGATTTCCACCCCTCCACTCCCCGCTGCCCCTAATCCCTGTCGGATTTCCTATTGGAAATTTCCAATTGCCAGTATCCCAGCTTGGTCCACCACCTGTTGTCCCACTGCTCTGCACCTCCAGAATGAATCTGGCTCTGGCTTCTCACCTCCCATTAGGTTGCTGTAGTCAGCAATAAGATCCCTTCAGCTGTGTCCCTCCAGGTAATCATACTTGCCTCTCTCAGCCTGTCCTCATTCATCCCCTGCTCCGGCCCAGACCATCTTGGTCACCTCAAAATCTGTTTGGACTTAGTATCGCTGTTCACAGCCCTTTTTGCCTAGTGTTTTTTCCCTCTGCGTTATCCAGCCTGCATCTCATCAAAGGCCTGAAACTCAGGGTGTGCACACTGTTCCCTGACCTTCCCTCGTCTGCACAGCCGCTCATACCTTTGGAGAAGACAATCAGACTGGTACAGCATGATTCACCTCTGGAATATTCAAGCTGGCCATTTCCAATTTTGTTTACACTAAGGGCAGTGAGGCACTGCACAGGTTGCCCAGAGAGGCGATGCTGCCCCATCCCTGCAGACAGCCAAGGTCAGGCTGAAGGGTCTTTGAGCACTGATGGAGCTGTGGGTGTCCCTGTGCACTGCAGGGAGTGGGACCTGATGGCCTTTAGGGGTCCTTCCAACTCTAACTGTTCTGTGATGATTCTATGATGGTTCTGTATCCAGCGACTTTGGCAGTGACTCAAGGATGCTGAGCAGGCGTGGGTTCCCACGTCCTCCTCCTGAAAGATTGGTGTCAAGTTTGCCTTTTGTCAGTCCTCTGGGTAACTTGCGATCACCTCTGTCTGCAGAAGATTCTATAGAGGCAATTTGCAGTGAATTGGTTTCAGCTCCACGCTCAGATGCATCCTGTCTGGTCCTATGCGTTTGCTTATCACCAGCTGTATTGAGTGCTGCCAGAGTTCACATCACTGTCTGTGTGGCCAGGCTCACCTTCACTTGGCTGTGTCGTCTGGAGCCAAAGAAATGGTTGGGAACCAGACTGAAACTAATTTTAAATCACCGGTCTGTGAGGAAAATTTTGCAATGGCTAAACCTCCACAGGTGTCAAAATTGTCACTTCTAAACTCTTTTCCTGCCATACGTTCAGCAGCATGCTCTGATCTGTCTAGAATGAAGCCCAAGGAAGCCATCCTTCTTCTGAAAGGCGCATTTGTGCGTGGGAGTCAGGACAGGTTGAACTGGAGATCTGATTTAGATGTCTGGTACATGAAGTGCAGTCCTTGTGTAGGTATTTCTGCAGTGAGGGCTTCGCTGCTTTGTGCTATGAGCAAACCTGAGTGAAACGAGCTGATTCTGCGTTAGCAGGCTGTAAATCAGGAGTGGCCAGGCATTAAGATTATGGACTTTTAAGTATGAAAGTAATTTTGAGTTCATAACGGAGCGAACACTGGCATTTATGTTCTTCCAAATGTCAGTGCTTGTTATTAAGAATAGCTTTTGCTTTAATTGCTTCTGCGCTTGGTTTGTGTAGCTGGAGGAAATACTCGCCCAGCAGGTGGGAGCTGTGCAGCCCTGTAGCACAGGGGAATCCTGAGGGAGGGCTGGGCTGTCCCACAGGAGCCCCTCAGGACGAGCACTTCAGAAGTGTCTCTTAATGATGGAAGCGCTCAAGGACAAGCACAGAATTGTAGAGGCTGGGAAAGACCTCTGGCATCATCCAGCGCCCCCCTGCCACCAGCGTTGCCCCCTGACCACGTCCCTCAGTGCCACAGCTGCCCTTTCCTTACACACCCACAGGGACGGCCACCACCCCCCGGGCAGCCTGTGCCAGTGCTGCATCCTTCCTTCTGAGAGTTTTTCCCTCACACCCACCCTCACCCTCCCCTTTAGCTGAAGCAGCTCCATTTCAGAACTCCAGTTAATATTTTCTGTTTAAAGAATTTGTTTCAAATGCAAGATCCATTGCGATGTGCTTTTATTTACTCTGAATATTCAGGTGGCTTTTATTTAATGATTATTTTATGAAATTTATAAATTTAAAATGATTTATTTTATTTTAAAAGTCTTTTAAAATGCCTAAATGCCTTTTCTAGCCCATTTTCATGAAACTCCATGTTCCTTGAAAATCAGAGGCATTCTGTAGACATGTGGGACGCCCGTGGGAACAAAAAATAACAATCTGACGAAGTAAACACCGAGTTAAATAACTTCTTAAGTAAAAGAGAGGGGGTACGCTATGCTGCTGAGCAGCAAGGAGTCATTCAGCACCCAAGGCGATATCTGGCTTCAGAGCAGCGTATGTTGATAGCTTTCGGCAGGATGAGCTGGATTTTAGGAAGACCATTTTGAGAAGGCAGGATGTGAGTCTCTCGGACCGTGCGTGGCAGCTGTGTGGGGTTCTGAGCCGTGAGCTGGGGGTGACGGCAGCCGCTCCGACCGTGCCGTGGCACCTGGAGCAGAGGCTGCCTGCCGACGTGGGAGCTGCCCTGGGCTTCCGTGGGAGATTGGCCAGCAGAGGAGGAATAAGATTGCCTGAGCCTGAGGCTCTGCCATAAATACCGAGCTGCTGCTTGCTGAGAATAGCTGTGAAGCAAAGGCAAATGTGGCTGAAGATGTTTCCAGTGCCGTGCCCAGGGGCAGGGGCTGCGTTGGCTCAGGACACGTGGACGTGTGGCAGGAGCACGAGGGGCTGTGTGCATTGGGCCTGCTGGGAGCTGCAGTGTGGGGAGATGCCGTGTTGCCCCAGTCCTCCCCACATATGGGCTCTGAGGTTCCCTCTGGCTCAGGCACAGCCGTGGGGTGCATCTCTCTGTGGTGGTGAACTGCTGTGAGGATGGGCTGTGCTGGTGGACCCGAAAGTCACAGGGGAAGCACTTGGAGGAGTTTCTTCATCACGTCAGTCACTCTCAATTTTTTCTCTCCTTAGATGCTTTCTCACCCATTCTGGATTTTCCCATCTTTTCCATTCCCTCCTCTCCTTTCTCCCTCTTTTCCATGTCTGTTTTGGTTCCTGTTGCTCCCTGTTCCTGGGCTCTGGCTGCACAGGCGGGCTGCAGGGCTGATGCTGAGGGTGGCCTCCTCCCTGCTTTGCAGGCCACCAGCTAGCTCCTGCTTGCGGGTGCCCTGTGAGTGTGCTGCTGGGTTGTGCACCATTCTCACCTCTGGAAACTTCTGGCACTCTGTAGAAAGGGCTAATTTAAGAGGTGGGAGGGTTTGGAGGTAGCTTGCGTGGGGTGCTAACTAACTCTTCCCTAACTCTTCGAGGACAGCCTCAGGGCTGTTGGCTGTGCTCATGTTTGCTGGCAGCTGGATCACACAGCGTCCTGGCACAGACTCCTGTCTTATTTTAAGATATACAGAAGACAGGGAGATTACCAGCAGATCTTCACAGAGGGCACATCACACCTTGCTAACCTGATAATCTTCTATGGCAGAGTGGCAGCACTGGTAGAGAAGGGAAGAGAAACCAGTGTCATGTGTGTTGACTTGTGCATTGCTTTTGTTACAGTCCCACAGAACATCCTTGTCCCCAAATTGGACACACAGGGATTTGATGGACACACTATTTTGTGGCTAAAATGTTGTCCAGGACAAGTGACATCCCTCAGGGGGCTGCATTAGGACCAGTACTGTTCAGTACTTTCAGTGGAGATATGGGCAGAGAGATTGAGCGCACTCCCAGCAGTTTGTGCACAGCACTGAGCTGAGTGATGCAGCTGATAGAACAGAAGGAAGGGATGGCATTCAGAGGGACCAGGATTGAGAGGTGGGGTCAGTGCAAGGTTCTGCACCTGGATGAGGGCAGTCCCAAACATCAGTGTGGACTGGGGTATTAATGGAGTGAGGGCAGCCCTGCAGAAAGGACTTGGGGTTCTGGAGCAGGGAAAGCTGACCTGAGCCAGCAGCGTGCAGCCCGGAGAGCCGCCAGCAGCCTGGGCTGCATCGGCAGAGGGGTGGCAGCGGGCAGGGAGGGGACTGTCCCCCTCTGCTCTGCCCTCGTGAGGCCCCACCTGGAGTCCTGCGTCCAGGCCCGGGGCCCCCAGCACGAGAAAGACGTGGGGCTGTTGGAGCGGGTCCAGAGGAGGGCACGAGGTGCTCAGAGGGCTGGGGCACCTCTGCTGTGGAGCCGGGCCGAGGAGCTGGGGGTGTTCTGCCTGCAGAAGAGAGGAGAGCTCACTGCAGCCATCGTGTTAGGACAAGGGGTAACAGATTTACTAAAAGAGGGGAGGTTGAGATGAGATAAAAGGAGGAAATTCTTCACTCAGAGGGCGGTGAGGTGCTGCATTGCTGCCCAGAGCTGTGTCTGTCCCATCCCTGAGGTTCCTCAGGCCACGGATGGGCCCTGGGCAGCCTGAGCTGGGGGCACCCAGCCCACAGCACGGATAGGGCTGGGGGTCTTTGGGGTCCCTTCCAACCCAATCACGTGCTGTGATTCCATTACAATTTTTGAAGGCTCTGCTGTCACTGAGGTTCCTGAAGGGGGGCAGTGCTGTATGGAGGCAGCAGGGCACGGTGTGACCTCCATCCCAGGCAGGCCCTGGTCCAGCCGCTTTCTGTGGCCGCATCCAGGTGCCCCTGCCCATGCCTCATGAGCAGGAGGGCTTGGGCTGCACACCTGGGGCTGCAGCTCACTGCCTGCTCCCAGCGAGGACAGCCTGGTTCAAAACCAGTTCAGTGATGTTTTGTCTGCCAGCGACGCCGGTCCCGCTCCCTGCCCAGCAGTTCCCTGTTGCTTCTGACAGATCCCCGCAGTGCTGTCAGAGCCACGTGCTGCAGGAGCAGCTGGGGAGGTGAGCGGCCGGTGCCGGGCTTCCAGCTCAGTGCTGCTGTGCGCCGGCCATGAGGTCGGCACGGGGCGCTGTGCTGAGGCTGCAAATCCTGCATCCCTGCCGCGGTCGGGGCAGCCCGGCCTGCAGGTGGTGCCCGGGCGGCCGGAGGCGGTGACCCTCCTGTTGCTTTTCCTTCTGCAGCACTCGACGCTGTCACGCAAGTTTGTGGAGGTGATGTCTGAATACAACGCCACGCAGACCGACTACCGGGAGCGCTGCAAGGGCAGGATCCAGCGGCAGCTGGAGATCAGTGAGTAACGCGGGCCGTGCGCTGCACCGCTGCTGGGCTCTGGCAGGAGCACACCGGGGCTGCGGGCAGTGGGATGGCAGCCGTCATCCTGAGGGTTTGTAATGCCACGGTTGGTGCTTGTTCAGCTGCTCAGGTTAAGGAAGGCAGAGAGCCGCTCCTTGTTGGGGCTTCTGTTCCAGGTGTGTGACGTAAGAAACAGGAGAAAACTAAGCTCTTGAGACCCGGGCACTCTGCCCCAGCGTTCCCCCTCGAAGCAGCCCTGTCCCAGCATTGTGACCACGGAATCATTCGATCACGGAATTGCTCAGGTTGGAAATGACCTTAAAGATCATCGAGTCCAACTGCAACTTCACCCTAGATTACTCTCACTCTAACAACCCACCGCTAAATCGTGTCCCTGAGCACCACATCCAGACGGTTTTTAAACACATCCTGGGATGGTGACTCAACCTCCTCCCTGAGGAGCCCATTCCAGTGCTAACAGCCCTTTCTGTAAAGAAGTGTTTCCTGACATCCAACCTAAATTTACCCTGGTGCAACTTGAGGCCATTTCCCCTCATCCTGTCATCAGTGAGAAGAGACCAACCCCACTCTGCTGTAAGCACCTTTCAGATACTGGAAGAGAGCAGTCAGGTCTCCCCTCAGCCTCCTTTTCCTCAGACCAAACAGCCCCAGTTCCCTCAGTTGCTCCTCGTAGGCCATATTCTCCAAGCCCTTCATAAGCCTTGCTGTCCTTCTTTGGGCCTGCTGCAGCACCTCCATGTCTTTTCTGTACTGAGGTGCCCAAAGCTGAACACAGAACTTGAGGTGAGGCCTCAACAGTGCTTACTACAGCGGCAAGATGACTTCCCTGGTCCTGCTCACCACACCATTGCTGATACAAGCCAGGATGCCATTGGCCTTCTTGGCCACCTGGGCACAGTGCTGGCTCATATTCAGCCCACTATCCATCATTACACCAATGTCCCTTTCCATCAGGCAGCTTTCCAGACACTCCTCCCCAGGCCTGTAGGTTTGCCTGGGGTTGTGACCAAAATGTAGGACCCGATGCTTGACCCTATTGATGTGATGGCTCTGAGCAGTAGTGGTGTCCTCTCCCTGCAGGCGGGCCCCAAGTGACACCTGTGAGGCTGCAGTAGCTGTGGCACTGAGATCTCCCTGGGACCACCCATGTAACCCAGAGACCGTTGCTTGCTCTGGGGAATTAGTGGCACCTGGTTAGCTTTAGAGAAATGGGTCATCTCCCACCAAAGAAGAGCCACCACCATAACTAGGGAAATAAGCACTGAGTCAGGATGAGCAGATCACAGAATCACAGAACAGGCTGGGTTGAAAAGGACCACAATGACCATCTGGTCCCAACCCCCTGCTGTGTGCAGGTCGCCAACCACCAGACCAGAGCCACGTCCAGCCTGGTTTTGAATGCCTGCAGGGATGGGGCATCCACAGCCTCCTTGGGCAGCCTGTTCCTGTGTGTCACCACTGTCAGAGTGAAAAACTTCCTCCTAATATCCAACCTAAGCCTCCCCTGTCTCAGTTTAAAACCGTTCCCCTTGTCCTATCACTATCCACTCTTGTAACCAGTCTTTCCACAGACTTTGCTAAATGGCAATTTTTTTTTTCTTTTTTTTTTCTAAAACGTCAGTGCCTCTTCCCTTTAAACCCACCTTGAACAACAAGGTAGGGCCGAAGGGGTTCCCACAGGGTCACCTGGGGGGGTGGAAAAGTCATCCTGCCTGTGAAAGTGGATGCTTGTGGGTATGGGCAGCTCCTGCGGAAAGCCAGGAGGTTTGGCTGTGTGCATCGTTCCTCTGTGTGATGTATAGTGATAACAAGTGTTTATGCTGTCTGAGTGGAAGAGGGACACAAGGCTCAGCGAGTGCTTGGCATTCAGTGGGAAGCAGGATGGAGAGTGTGTGTGAGCTCCTGCACGTGCTGACATCTGTGAGCTCACGGCATGCTGCAGGTGATACCAGCCACAATGGTGTCCTACAGCGGGCAGATGAAGTATCCTTAGTTCTCCCTTCTGAGAGAGAAGATTTGGAAGGACTTACCCAAATCCTAATCATCTGCGGAGAAGCTGTGAAACAAAGCTAAAAGGAACTTTTCTCTGTTTTTTTAGGTTTTGAAAGGACTCTGCCACTCTGCTTACATTATGCAGCACTTTGCCCATGCTACACAGCTGTCACATCATGCCAACGGGGCATAAGGAAGAGACTGCTCAGGGCTCACAGTGTTGGGTGCAGTGGTGTCCTGTTAGTGATGCTGAGGGTCCTGCCCTCTTCTGGGGGAAGCTGGTGTGCAGGGTCTGTGCACAACCCCTTGGTTCCTGCAGCCTGTGGCAGCAGAAAGCCTCTGGTGCCTTGTATGCAGTGGCAGTGTTCTGAGGCTGCCTTCGGGAGTGCGTCGGGAGTGCTGCCTTCCTTGCTGCTCCTGTGGTGGTTCTCAGCAGCTGTGCTGACTACACACAACTGCCTCTCATAGTTCTGAGGTGCTGCAGCTGGATGGGCGCAGCTGGCCTCCCACAGCAGCACAGCTGTGGTGTGATGAACTTTGTGCTGCTCCAAAGCCATTCCCGTGCTGCAGATAAGGTGCAGCCTTCGGGCCCCATGTTTTGCCTGGGCATTAAAGCAAGCTCTTTGTAGCAGCTTGACCAGACCTCCACTCGCTAATCCACACGGTGCCCTGAATGCTTTGGGGCCTTTACCAGCCTTCTGCTCTGCAGAAGTGGAATGGGGCAGTGAGGAGACAGTGAAAGCCAGGGAGCCCATCATCCTATCTGCCTGCACACACAGTATCTCCGGGAGCTGGTCCTGCTGCTTGTCCTCAGCGCTGTCTCCAGGGCTTGCATGCAACAGAGCAAAGGGCTGTTGGGATGCACTGTGCCCGGCACACTCCTTGTCACTGCTGGCGGCTGCTCAGTGTGGAACAGGATTGACGTAGGGGCCAGTGACATTGTGCTGTTCCAGCCATTGCTCTCCTTCTCTGGATCTGGGTCAGCTTCAGCTGAGAGCAGGAGCTGGCAGCTGCCCTTCAGAGCAGGCAGCCTGCCTTTCTGCAGGGCAGGGCTTCTCTCAGGAGCTGGTTTATCTCTGTGGGCTGTTAGAAGGAATGGTTGACTCAAACATGAGAGGAGCTCTGACAAGAGTCGGATGTTTTGACGGAGAAATGAGGTCCTTCAGTGTGGGAAGCAGGGTGGGCCACACTCAGCACCAGCGGGCTCAGGGTGGTCTTCCACCAAAGTTAAAGAACTGCTTGCAGAACGAGCTCTCATCTCCACAGAGGTCTTTTTGGAAGGATAACTTACCCTCATTTGTTTGAGCCTTCAGAAATCTCTGACTGCCAACAATTTCCCAGTTGCCAAAGCCTTTTTGGACTGTTCTATTTGGAGTTGTGGAAGGTTTTGTCTGAGGTAGTCTTACTTGCAATTAAAGGTGGTGTGTGTTTCCCTGGTTGTGTTGCTGGAAGTTGTTGGGCTGTTGAGTCCCTGTAAAGCCTCACACTGCTGCTCTTCATCCTCAGTGCTTCCTTGCACTTTCACCTCTTGGATGGACCATCTGTCCTGTGTTCCTTCTGGGCTGTGATGCCCTACATCTCTGCTCTCTCTGCTCAGAGTGTACTCTCAGGAAGGTCCAGGTTTTTGCTCATCCCAGGAATGGCTGCCTCATGCTACCTCCAAAGCTCCACATCACAGAGGATGTTCACAGGGCAGCATTTATCTTCCTGCTGCCCTTCTCATCCATCCGCATTTAGCACATGGCTAAGAAAGCCCACAGGAAGCCCCTGCTTTGGGGGTTGCCGCTGGGGAGGAGGCCACACGTTCCTGGCCCGGCTGTAGGCATAAACCCATTTGTTCCATGGAGAATCAAAGCTGAGAGCATGAACTGCTAATGAACAGCCTTTACTCCAGAGCCCGCACTCACTGGGCGTGTGCACCTGCACTGGCAGAGCAGCGCACATGAAGTCCCCTGGGTCAGCAGCCCGCTCCCGTCCCTCACTGCAGTGCTGTGTCCCACATTGCCACCGTCTCCTTGGTTGTGCTGCAGGGGAGGGGTTTGCAGCTGGGTACGGCCCTGTTCAGAGGTTCAGAGATGCCCTGGACTCATACCAGAGAACGTTGCTGTCCCTTTTGATACCTTCGTGATTCATGGTGGAGCCTGGAGGGGGAATAGTAAAATTGCTACCTTGGACTTCAGGAGGGCGGACTTTGAATTGTTCAGGGGACTAATAGGGGGAGTCCCCTGGCATTCAGTCTAAGCGAGTAAAGGGGTCCAAGAGAGCTGGTTGCTCTTCAAGAAGGAAGTCTTAAGGGCGCAGGAGCAGGCAGTGCCCTGAGCTGCAAAATGAGCCGGCGGGGAAGAAGACCGGCGTGGATGAATAGGGAGCTATTCCTGAGGCTCTGGGAGAAAAAGAGAATCTACCGCCTGTGGAAAGAGGGACAGGCCACTCAGAATGAATACAAGGAAGTCGTTAGGATGTGTAGAGGTGAAATCAGAAAGGCAAAAGCCCAGTTTGAATTTAACCTGGCCACTGGGGTGAAAAGGAATAAGAAACTCTTTTATAAATACATTAACAGTAAGAGGAGGACAAAGGAGAATATCCACTCTTTGCTGGATGAGGCTGGGAATGTGACCACTGAGGATAAGGAAAAGGCGGAGGTTCTGAATGCCTTCTTTACGTCTGTCTTTAAAAGTCAGACCAGTTATCCTCAGGACACTCCTCTCTCTGACCTGGTAATCTCGGCTGGGGAGCACACTAACCCCCCTGTGATTCTGGAGGAAACAGTCAGAGACCTACTGCTCCAACTGGATTGCCACAAGTCGATGGGGCCAGATGAGATCCACCCGAGAGTGCTGAGGGAACTGGCGGAGGTGACAGCTGAGCCGCTTTCCATCATCTGTCAGCGCTCCTTGTTGACTGGTGAGGTCCCAGATGACTGGAGGCTTGCCAATGTGACTCCCATTTTCAAGAAAGGTCGTAAGGAGGATCCGGGGAACTACAGGCCTGTTAGCCTGACCTCGGTGCCAGGGAAGGTTATGGAGCAGATTGTCTTGAGGGAGATCATGCGGCATGTGCAGGGTGACCGGGGGATCAGGCCTAGCCAGCATGGGTTTGTGAAGGGCAGGGCCTGTTTGACCAACCTGATCTCCTTCTATGATCAGTGACCCATCTGGTGGATGAGGGAAAGGCTGTTGATGTGGTCTACCTAGACTTCAGCAAAGCCTTTGACACTGTCTCCCACAGCATTCTCCTGCGGAAGCTGGCAGCCCGAGGCTTGGATGGGTACGCTCTCGGCTGGGTGAGGAGCTGGTTGGAGGGCCGGGCTCAGAGAGTGGTGGTGAATGGAGTGAAATCCAGCTGGCGACCTGTCGTGAGTGGTGTTCCCCAGGGGTCGGTGCTGGGGCCTGTCCTCTTCAATATCTTGATTGATGACCTCGATGAGGGCATCGAGTGCACCCTCAGTACATTCGCAGATGACACCAAATGGGCTGGAAGTGTGGATCTGCCTGGGGGTAGCGAGGCCATACAGAGGGATCTGGACAGGCTGGAGAGCTGGGCTGAAGCCAATGGGATGAGTTTTAACAAGGCCAAATGCCGGGTCCTGCACTTTGGCCACAACAACCCCAGGCGATGCTGCAGGCTTGGGGCGGTGTGGCTGGAGGACTGCATAGAGGAAATGGATTTGAGGGTATTGGTTGATGCTCGGCTGAACATGAGCCGACAGTGTGCCCAGGTGGCCAAGAAGGCCAATGGCATCCTGGCTTGCATCAGAAACAGCGTTGCAAGCAGGAGCAGAGAGGTGATTGTTCCCCTATATTCAGCACTCGTGAGGCCGCACCTCGAGTACTGTGTCCAGTTTTGGGCCCCTCACTGCAAGAAAGATATTGAGGCCCTGGAACGTGTTCAGAGGAGGGCAACGAAGATGGTGAGGGGTCTGGAACACAGGCCATATGAGGAGAGGCTGAAGGAGCTGGGAATGTTCAGCCTGGAGAAGAGGAGGCTCAGGGGAGACCTCATTGCTCTCTATAACTTCCTGAAGGGAGGTTGTAGTGAGCTGGGGGTCGGCCTCTTCTCTTGTGTCATCAGTGATAGGACCAGAGGGAATGGCTTCAAGCTACGGCAGGGGAGATTCAGGCTGGACATGAGGAAGTATTACTGTTCAGAAAGGGTGGTCAGGCACTGGAATGGATGCCCAGGGAGGTGGTGGAGTCACCGAGCCTGGGGGTGTTCAAGGAAAGGCTGGATGTTGTGTTGAGGGACATGGTTTAGTGGGAGCTACTGGGAATAGGTGAACGGTTGGACTGGGTGATCTTTTAGGTCTTTTCCAACCTTGGTGATTCTATGATTCTATGATTCTATGATTCTTCTAAGAGACCCCGTGGATAGTGTGTGGTGGGGTGTGCCGTGCCAGACCTCAGCCCTTCCTTGCAGTCTTTCTGTTGGTTTCAGGCAGGCTGGGATGCGTTCCTGTTCTCCCCTCAGTGATAGGGTTTGGGCTCCCGGAGAGCTCCAGCCAGAGGTGCAGCGCTGGTGTGCAGGTGGAGCTGGCTGTCCTTGTGGGCTTGCCAGGCCAGGGCAGCCCTGCAGTCCGTCCTCCTCTTGGGTTGCTGCTCTCCATCCCATCACTGCCCTCTGTGCTCAGGGAACTCAATTCTGCTCCTTGGGGATGGCTGGAGCCAACAGAGCCCTGTGTAGCGCTGCAGGGGCTGCAGCCAGGGCAGGAAGTCCCATTGATTCCTGTGTGTTGCTTGCAGCTGGCAGGACCACCACCAGCGAGGAGCTGGAGGACATGCTGGAGAGCGGCAACCCGGCCATCTTCTCCTCTGGGGTAAGTACCGCAGGTCAGCCCTGCTGCCAGCCTGCAGCCACGCCAGCCACTCTCCCTGGAGGAGTTTTCTGGTGGCCCTGCCCCAAGCACTGCCCTGCAATGGGGACGTGGGCACATGCAAAGTGCTGCTGGGGCCTGGCCGCACCTTCCTGTCTGCCCCAGGAGTTGCTCTCCTTCCCAACCCTCCCCTCACCCTTCCTGGTGCCCCATCCCAGCAGTGAGGGGCTGCACTGAGCTGCGTGCTGGCCATCTCCCCACAGATCATTATGGATTCCAACATCACCAAGCAGGCTCTGAACGAGATCGAGACGCGACACAGTGAGATCATCAAACTGGAGAACAGCATCCGAGAGCTGCATGACATGTTCATGGACATGGCCATGCTAGTGGAGAGCCAGGTAGGGACGGCCGCGGCTCAGGGCCAGCTCACCCTGGGGCTGGAGGGGAGCAGGGCTGGGGCACAGAGGGCACAGGGGTGGGCAGCCTTCCCCGTGCAGCTCCCTGCTGGGTGGGTGCTGTGGGGAGAGTGGGATCCTGTGCGTGGGGCGGGAGGTGCGGGGTGGCGCAGGAGGGCAGCGGGTGTCCGGCACCTGGCTGCAGACCAGTCCTTGTCCCTGGAGCTGGGCACTGGCACTAGGGGACCTGTGTGGGACTGGGCCCCACTGCAGAGCCTGGTGAGCCCCAGGCCCACACTTCCGTGTCTCTGCTCACCCCCCTTCTTGCCCGCCATGCTGTCGCGGCCCGAGGAGACATCGGTGCAGGTAAAGCCTCGCCTGGCCTTTGCCAGTGCTGCATGCTCAGCTCTGCATGGCTGCACTCTGCATGTCTGCTGCTCTTGTGTGGCACTGGGGCAGGCCCAAGGACGCGGGGGGAGGGTGGAGGTGTCTGTGCATCCTGCCCATGGCACACCCGGCCCTCTGCATCTCTACAGCTCTCCCCTGATTTCTGCAGGGCATTGGGCTGGATCTGCTGAGCTAGGCCAGGCCAGGTTCCCCAGGGCAGGTCACAGGGCAAGTGCCATCTGCCTCCGAGAGGAGTCTTTCTATCTTCTGTCCCCCCTAACTGGCCCCAGTGTGAGCAGAGTGTCAGTCTGTGCAGGGCCGCCCTCACCTTGTTCAGAGCTGCCAGGTCCTGTGTCCCCACTTTGCTATTACTTTGGGATCGCTGCGCCTTGTCACCTCTGCTGGAAACCCTGCCTGTCCCCACTACATCCTGGTTCCCCATGAAGCCCATGGACGGTGAGTCCCCCATGGTACGCACAGACGAGGAGTGCCCTTTGGGTGACACAGGGCACCGTGACCGTTCCTGACCTTGTGTGCTGCCAGTATCCGTCCTGCCACCCCACAGTCCTGCAAGTCTGCAGGGACTGCAGGACCCAACGATGCTGTGCAGAGCCTGTGTGGGAAGGGGCACTACCAGCCCTCACCTGCCTTCTCTGGGAGAAGCAGAGGCACAGAGCTGTGCAGTGGGCTGCCGTGCAGAGCACTTGGCCTTGCTGTAACCACCAACGCCTTGCATTGCCCCATAGGGTGGGGGGCTCTGAGCTGCTGGCACAGAGGAGGCAGGGAGCAGAGCAGCACCGCATGTTGGCAGCTGCTGCTCTGCCCCAGATATGGCACTGGTGGGTGCAGGAAGCAGTTCAGACGAGAAAAGAGCGTTGTAAATCTGCTGGTCATGACCCCCAGCTCTGTGCCATGGGGAGGATGTTGGGGTTCAAGCCCCTCCTTGTCCCTGGAAAGTGCGTCATTGACACATGCAGGGGCTGAAGGGTGTGGGTCAGTTGGGCAGCATGTCCCCAGATCCCAGGGCAGAGTCGAGCAGAGCAGCAGCTCCTGCAGGACCCAGTGCTCCAAACTCACCAGCCTCGCTCCAGGAGACTCTGCTCTTCTGCAGGGCGCTTGTGCAGATCAGAGCAGTCATCCCTGCATGCTCGTGGCTTTGTGAGCATCCCACGTGGTGCTGCAGCTGTGCTCTTGGCTCTTGTCCTCTATCCCTCCTGCTTCTCCGGTGTGCAGCCCAATGTCAGTGCACTCTTCAGTCTGAGCCCCCACCCCAGGGCTGCCTGTGGTGCCTGCTGCCTGTGAGCCTGCAGCAGGTGGGTGATGGTCTCTATCTCCTCCACAGGACCAGGGATGGGCAGGGCGATGTCTGCATGGTGCCAGGGAGCAGCGGGGAAGGAAGGAACTCACGGCGGGTGGGCTCTGTCCCTGCTCTGCAGGGTGAGATGATCGACCGCATCGAGTACAACGTGGAACACTCTGTGGACTACGTGGAGCGAGCTGTGTCCGACACCAAAAAAGCAGTGAAGTACCAGAGCAAAGCCAGACGGGTGAGTGGCAGCACGGGGTGGCTGGCAGGGCTGGGGCTGAGCACCCAGACGTGGGCAGGCAGCACCGGGAGGGAGGTTGTGGGGCAGGGCTGCCACATGAGGACAGGAAAAGGGACAGAGTGGACCCAAGAGCCGGGCTGGCTGCGAGCCTAAAGGACGAGGAGGCGGTGGAGAAAGGCAGTAGAGCTCTGACCCCAAGCACTGTCCTGTTCCCCAAGCTGAAGGAGGGTCAGAGCCCGGGGAGCCGGGCAGGCCCCAGCCCCCAGCACTCACGGCCCCCTCTCCCCTCTCTCCCTTTCGGTGCTGGGACACCCGAGCAGAAGAAGATCATGATCATCATCTGCTGCGTGATCCTGGGTATCGTCATCGCCTCCACCTTTGGCGGCATTTTCGGCTAGACTCCCCCGACAGGACTGCTTGCGTGTGACGGACGGAGCCGTGCGTGTTGTGGGGCCGGAGCGAACCATGCAGCCCCGGAGCCCCCAGCAGCATTTCAGTTTCTAATGCATGGTTGTTTGTGATGCTGTGTGTGCGGTGCATCTGTGTGGAGGGAGCGCCGGCCCCGGGGCGCAGATGGGGTGCAGGGGACGGTGATGGGTGTGAGGGGGACCTTCGGGGCAACCCAAGCTCTCATCACTGCTTGGCCTGGGAGGCTGCCGGGAGTGGGGGAACAGAGGTACTGTTGGGCACTGTGCTGGGCCAGGAGCCTGTCGGTGACACCCAGAGATGAGACCAGCGTGGGGTGTTACAGGCTCCTCAGGAACACAGAGTCCAGGCAGCCTCCCCCCAGCTTTTCCCATCACCTCCGGCCAAAGCTCTCATGTCTGTCAGCCGCATCTGTGCTTGCAAACCACTTTCATTAGGCTGCTTCTCCTACGGGGTGCTTCCCAGGCCCTCCATCCCTGCTGCCCTGCTGCAGGTGCCCGGTGCTGCTGCTGGGTGTGCTGCTGCTGCCAGTGGGTGCTGCGTGGTGAGTGGCTCTGTTCCAGCCCTGCCCAATGGAGCAGCATGGGGTCCATTGCTGAAGCCTGGGGATGGGGACAGCTGCACGGGCTCAGTGCTGTGGCCCAGCACCAGGCTGGCAGAGCAAAAGGTCACAGGGACTTTAAGGGCAGCGAGTTTCACTGGCTGCCTGCCCTGCTCCACATCTTCCTTGTTCTTTACTCAGCTCCGGCGCACAGTGACCCTGGGTTTTACCACCCCCAGGCCTGGCTCTGGTTGTCAGTGTTTGGGAATAGCTCGGACACCCACAGCCCCGGTGGTGCCCCCTGGGAGCCAGGATGTGCCCAGCACTGCCCCTCCACACAGCGCCCTCGGGCTGGGGGTTGGAGGCAGGAGGGCTTGCTCCTGCCACAGTCCCTGGGAGCAGCCCTTGTTGCATCCACCCCCACAAACTAGGAGCAGCAGCCTTCCTCCTCCTCTTCCTCTTCCTCTGTGCCACCAACTCCTGAGTAGGGCAATGCCTGACTGCTCCTTCCAACTCCGCCACATCCTAGCATCTGCCTGCCACCTTCTCCTGGGACAGTGCCACGCTACCTGCCCTTCCCCAGGCCACCCAGTGAGACATCCACACACTGTGGGTTGCAGCCATGTGCTGCCTGCTGCAGGTGACCTGAGACTGCTGCAGCAGAGAGGCCTGCATTGCCACCGGGCTGTCATCCCTGTGCTCCTGCCTCAAGATGGTTGCAGGGCTCTGCCCTTGTGTTCCTCAGGGGACTGCAGTGCTGTGGCTTGCTCACAAAGTGCCAAAGCACTGTGGAGGAGCCTGAGCAGGGCAGGTGCGTGGTGCCAAGCTTGCAGTCATGCACTGGGGTGGAAGTTGGATGTGAGCCCAGGCACTGATAGCAGAAAAGGGTCACTGTGGCAGCACACACAGCTGCAGGCAGAATGCTGTTTCCCCACTCCAACCAGGGCCAGACGAGTGCATCCAGCCTCCACATTCCCCAAGGGCTGAGAGGCTTGAGCTACAAGGCAGGGTAAGGGCAGGCCTTGCTGGAGCTGAGCCCTGCTCCCACCCAGCTCCATCCAGTGCTGGCACCAGCCTTGCACAGCATGCTTTCAGAAGGAGAGTGCAGACTAGAATGCAGTGCTCCCTGCCACCGTCACCATGCGGCCCCTGCTTGCATTTGGCTGCTGATGGGGAGTGTGTCCAGCTGTGGCTGTCAGACATCCAAGACTGGAGCCCCCTTCTTTCACATTCCTGTGGTGACTGGTGTGAGCTCCAGTGCTGCAGGCTGTGTGGGCACGAGGGTCTGGGGCACTGGGATTGCTGCCAGCAGGGACAGGCTGGGTGTGAAGCTCCCCTCCAGCGTGGCGGTTGGGCATGGACACAGCCCTTGCTTTGTGGGCATGTCTGGCTATGGGGCACAGAGCTGGGGCTGACGTGCCCCACTGTGCAAGTGCCTGCTCCTGCAGTTTGCACACAGTGCCCTGTTGAGTGAGGGAGAGCACCAGGCCCCCATGGGAAGCAATAACACTACTGCTGGTAGCACCGCTCCTAGGCAGGCAGGCAAGAAAGTTCATCTCAGGCTCTCCCCGTAGCAATGCCCACTGCTAGCACAAGGGGATACTTTTCTTCCAACAAGTGGTTCCTGTGGCACAAGCTCACATGACATCAGGGCTGCAGCCCGCCCCAGTAAAGGCACGAGGCCCAGAATAGTGCTGAACAGCTGACGCTTGTTCCTTGTGAGCGCCGCCACTGCCGGCAGCAGAGCCGTGATTCTGCCACTGGCGCTTCACTGGGTCTGCGCAGGCAGCAGTGGCCGCAGGCTCTGGCACGAGGGAGGCAGAGGAGCACGCTGCCATCGCTGCCCCGCAGGCTGTCTCACACTGCCCTCACTGTGAGGGGAGGGTGTTTTGGTGCAATAATTACCCCTGCACTACGGGAAGCCCCGTTCAGTTCCTTTTTACCTGCCTGTCATTGCATGTACAGACCAAATCACCAACAGCGTGGTTGTGCTTTGGGGAAACATTTCACTTTTTCTTTCTAACCTCCAACCTCAGCCCACTTGTCCTTTGGGTTCCACCACCTCTGTTCCAAGTGCCACCTGCCCCCCAGCGCCGGGAGCATGTTGATGCAGTATTTTACGAGCAGTGTGGGGCACACACAGCTTGCACTTGAACTGAGGATTGTTTTGTTTTTTTTTCTTTTTTTTTTTTTATTTTTTTTTAGTAAGTAATGTACTTGAAGGCTTTCCAAGCCCCCTGTGGAGTTGTACTGTTGCTGTACTGTGAGCTAAGTGTCCTTGTTTTCTATGTGGATCTTGACCCTGGCTTGCTCTGTCTCACTGGGCTGGATGACACTGTATTGTTGCCTCTTATCTCCTTCACCCTTTCCCCCCTTTCCCACTCTGCTGGCCTGCCTTTCTTCTCCCAAAAGCTTTGGGTGCAAAACAGCTTCCCATTTTGTGGAATTTTTATGTAGAATAAACATTTGTAACTGTAGAGCTCTGGCTGGCACTTCTGTTAAAGGGGAAGGGTGGAAGTGACAGGGAGCAAGGACTGGGGTGGGGAGACTCCAACACCCTCAGAGCAGTAACACAGACAGGGGGGCTGACGTGAAGAACATGCGAGAGGAGTCACCGCAGGAGAGCTCAAATAACAGCTGTGCCCACCTGCCCAGAAGATGTGCACCCATGGAACACACACCTCTAATACTGCCTGGCTACTTCCTGGCACACAGAGGGGAAGCTGGCAAGGAACCAGCTACTCTGTTTCCCAGCTCAGTGCTCCCCTGCACTGACATGACACAGGAGACCAGCAACTCTTTCAACCTGTTGACTGTTTAGAGAAAAGTCTGCATATAATGCTCTGGGCTTGCCTGAAGCTCCAAGTGGCCAGAACGCTGTGCTGCTTTCTCTTCACAAAGAAAACAGCTGGAAGCTTTGAAGTTAGCAGTTTGGCTGCACCTGAGCCAGTATACAGTTGTTGAGACAGGTCACCGTGGCTCCTGCAAGTCCCAGGCCTAGGAAGCCCATTGGGACCATCCACAAGAGGCTCACTAACGAGGCCAGCACACAATCCTCCATGTCAGTAATGTCCACAGCAAATCAGAACTGAGGGCGGCGCTTCCGACCGGTGTATTTTGTGTCTGCCCTCACTTCCCTGGGGAGAAAAGCAAAGAGCAGCTCAGTGTGATCCACAGGCCACTCTGGGACAGGAAGGGAAGGTAGATCATGGCAGAAGTCTAAGCGGGTGATAGCAAGCCAGGCCAGCAGTCAGCCTCAGCTGAAGCGGAACCCAGCTGAACTTACTTGCCCTGTCGTCGTCTGCGTTCTTTCTTCTCAAGAATCCAGTCCCGGCTTTTCTTCACAGACTTGCCCTTGGCATTTCTGAATCGTATCCTACAAAGAGAGCAAACAGAAGCTAGGGAGGAACTGGAGTGGGGGCACACCTCTGTGCTCTGGAGGATTCCCACTCAGAAACAGCAAGGTGTGGCCACACCGTCCAAGCCCAGGCACTGCTGCAGGAGGGAGGCTGCCACCAGCCCTGGCTCTGAGCAAAGAGACACCTACCCTTCACAGCTGCAGCAGGCCAGCACTGCCCTCTGCTGTATCTGATACACGCACCTTGTCTGCCCTACTCTGAATGCAGCAAAGGCCCCAATTTCCCAACAGGCTGTCAGCTGTGCTACAGCCTTAATGTCAAGATGCCCTCTGGACTGAGTGAGCAGAGCACCGCAGTGTAAGAGGCAGGAAAACATGACAGCCACCAGCTCCTGGCAGCCACGACGACTTTCCTCTGGTTTTTATTCTCTGTCTCTTCCCACTGGCTGCAAGAGGGACTCCTCCTTGCAGCGCTACCACGGGAGGAGACCTGGCCAGAAGGAAAAACCACCCAAGCAGCTGCTATGCAATCACAGCAAAAAAATTCACTGGGGAAAGAATGGAATGTAAGACTTCAGACATAGCCTTCCCACCAAAAAACAACCTCCTGAAAACAACCTCCCTCCCACCATCAACGGCCTATGCTCCAGCACTGAGTGCCGGACAGAAGTGCACCTCCAAGTAATTGCTCAGCTGCAGTTTCATAGTAAGCATCAAGGACAGCTCCCTGACAGCACTGCAAAGCTCTCTAGTCGAAGCAGCTTGTCCTGCCCATCCCTTCAGCACGACAGAGCAGTGCCCATCTGGGCTGCAGAGAGCCACCCTAGTGCCCCCATCCCCTCCCTCCAGCCGTTTTATGCATGGCAGCACCGCAGTCCTCAGCCAGCAAAACTGAGTTCTCACACCCTCTGACACCTGGGAACAACTCCACTAAGCAAACAATACCTCTCATTGGTGAATTTTGCCTGACGTATCTCTTCTCCATCAGCACACTCAGTACCAAGGCCCTGAAAAACAGAGACCTTTCATCTGGAGAAGACAGAGCCGATGGTCACTGCCATCCAATTATGGGGAGCAGTGCTTCGCCAGGAGAAGGACTGTGGCAGAAGCAAGCTGATTTCCCAGAAATTGAGGCAAAGAAACACATAAGCTGTATCTGCATACATGGGGCTGCCCCCGGCCCACAGCTCTTCCACATCAGCCGGCAGCCATTTCTGCTGCTTGGCTGAGTTCCTTACCTTTGGTAACGTGCCAGATGTCCCAACAAAGAGACAGAGGAAGAACCTGAAAGAACAAGAGGAGCATGAAGCGAGGAGTCAACGCGCGATTCCCAGTTCTGAAGCAAGACTGTCAGCTTTTATAATACAGTCAGATCCAAGCTGTCATCTCTGCCCAGGACTGTATCCTGGGAGAAAGGAGCACAGCTTACAATAACAGCTGCTGAAGCTATGCTTCACCCCACACATGCCCATACACAAAGACACAGGACTCACTTCTTAGCTTTGGTGCTGTTGGGGTAATCTACGACCATGCCACCAGTGAAGCCAGCTCTCATGGCTTGGGCAGTGATGAGCTCCAGCTGAAAAAGGAGCACGAACGAAAGACATTTATTTAGCACTCACCGCCCTGCGTGGCCAGACACAGCTGACTGTGTGTGCCAAAGACAAGTCAACCCTGCTCCTGTTAAACCCTGTCCCAAGCCCTCAGCTCTGCGTTAGGATCCAGACAAAAGTCTGCAGCATTTCCTTAGTTCTCCCTGCTCCTCTGCCTACCCTGGGTTAACTGGAAGAGCAGCTTCTCAGAGGGGGATACAGGGAAGGATTTTCCAGCCTTAGGAAATGAACTACAGCACTGATGACTACAACAGCCCAGTCTTCAAACCCATCACACAAAGGAACACGCTGCACAGCAGCTGTAGATCACATCCTGCCAATTCCTTGGATTTTAAGGCTCAGCCCAAGACCAACTGTGAACAGGGGAAAAGACATAGGGCATTCTCCTAACTGTTGGTTGTTTTTTTTTTTTTCTTTTTTTTTCCCCCTCTAGTTCTTGCAGAGCTTTACAGGTGGGAGGAAGGACACAAAGATCCAATGCAGGAAAACATAATGCATCCTGAGCCTTAAACACGCATGTCACTTCACTGCTGTACCTGTTCTGAGTTCTCAGGGTACAGCTGCAGTACGGCTCGGGATCCTCGGGCCTGTGGGAAACAAGGTAAGTCACAAGCGTGGCTTAGAGCAGGCTTCCCCTCTTACTGCCCAGTCCACAACCCTCAGGAAGCCTCCTGGAGAACTTTCCCAGGAGAGCAGCTCAGATGGCAGAGCCGGAGTCACCAGAGCACAACAAGGCACAGGGCTAGCAGCAGGAACTGCAGAAACACAGGCACTGTGCAGACAGGGAAGCAGTCAAGGAATGGGTGCTGCAGCTAATCCTACATTTCAGTTACTCAAAGTCTTGCTACAAGGCAGAGGTGGGGATATCAAAATAGGCAGAGGGCTGACTGAGAGAGCATGACACTTACCAAGGCAGTATAAAGAGTTGAAAAGAACCGATAAAGGCGTTTTGGAGGACTGTGTGACTTCTTGTCAGCGTTACAAAGCCACTGCACTGCAGAGATACTGCAAAAGAAATCAAGACCCGCAGGACACTGAACCATCAATTCCTCAGCAGCGCCTCCCACCTCCCTTTGAGCATTCTTTTAGTACTGAGCGTGTGCTTGGCTTCAGAGAAAATTATTCATTTTTCTCCATATAGCCTTACCTTACTTTGTGGTAAAGCCACTATAGAGACTCACTATGTCATGCTACGAGCAACCTGGTGCAGCAGTTACTCAAGCAACAGAAATACCAGACCTCTCCTTTAGGAGAGTGTTCAGGTGCTTGGTTGTGGCCCTAACAAAGTCCATAAGTAGCCACACAGGTTTTGCCAGAGTGACCCCAAAGAGAGCACGACGTTTGGTGACAGAGAGCCCCTGCTCGCTGTACCAGTACCTTTAAGAAGCATTCTCTAACAAAAGTGTTTATTTCCTCCAGGCCTTCGCCCCCAAACCAACCATCAAACCTCTTCTCAGCTGTGAGGCCAGTCCCTCGATCCAAAATGCTTTGGTGCACATCTCAACTCACCTGAAAGTACATCACCTGTAATTTATTTAGTCCAAATATCCTGCTGATTCACTGCCACAAAAACAGTCAGACAGCCCACAGCGCTGTACATGCCAGCAGAGCAAGGAGAGTCGCAGTGCTCTCTCACACAAGACGAGCACACTGTGCACACTGCAGAGGGCTCGTTCAGGTGCTCAGACTCACCTGATACAGCCATCAAACGTGCCAGGCCTGAAGGGAATGCCATCGCCCATATCCGCGAGGAGCAGATCTCCTTCGACCTCCCTCTCCACAGCCACATCTGTGCAGGGAGCGCAGCGCTCAGCGCACGCCCGCGGCACTCCCTGCAAAGGGGTGCGGAGGGACGCTCACCCAGCATGGCGCGGCTGATGTCCACCCCGATCCAGAAGTGCCCCTCCTCGGAGATGTGCTCCCCGCTCAGTCCGGAGCCGCAGCTGCAGACGGGAAGGGGACAACGGCGGCTCACGGTGCCCTCCCGGGACGGCCCCGCCCCGCCCCCCCGCCGCGCACCGCGCGCCGCTCACCCCACGTCCAGGAGGAGGCACGGCCGTCCCTCGGGCAGCGCCAGCAGCTCCACGGCCCGCGCCGCCATCTGCGCCTGGATCTCGGCCACGCGGGAGCTGCGGGGCGAAAGGCGGCGGGTGGGCGGAGGCACTGCGGCACACGCGGACTCCCCGCCCAAGCCCCCGGTCCCACCGCCCGCCGTACTTCTGAGTGTACTTCCGTGCCTCCGTCTCATCGTAGAACTGCAACAGCAGAATGGAAAGGGGGGGGAGTGGGATGTGAGCCCGGGCCCTGCCCGGTTTGCCAGCACGGCCCGGCCCGCCCCGCCCGCACCAGTTCGGGAGGCCCGCGGTGCTCCGGCCGCCGCCCGCCGCTCGCCATGCTGCTTGATGATGTCACCGCACGGCGCCGCGCGTCTCTGCGTCGCGCCAGAGTGACGTCGCGCCTCGGGCAAGATGGCGGCGCGCGGGCGCTGAGCGATGGGTCCGTTGCCGCTGGGCCTGCGGCGCCTCCTGCTCCCGGGACCGGGACTGGGGCTGGGCACGGCCCCGCGCTGCGGCGGGAGCTCGGGGAGCGGCAAGGCGCCGCGCCGCACGCTGTATGAGGTGCTGGACGTCCCGCCCACCGCCACGCCGGCGCAGATCAAGGCGGCGTACTACCGGCAGTCCTTCCGCTTCCACCCGGACCGCAACGCGGGCAGCGCGGCCGCCGCCGAGCGCTTTGCCGCCGTCAGCGAGGCCTACCGCGTGCTGGGCAGCGCCGCGCTGCGCCGCAAGTACGATCTCGGCGCCCTCAGCCGCGACGACGTGCGCGGCGCCCCCCGGCCCTCGAGCCGCGCTCCCGCCGCGCCGCCCGCCGCCCGCGCCGCAGCCAAGCGGAATGACGGGCGTA